GGAAAGAAACAAAACAGAGAGAGAAAGAGGAAATAATTATGCCCCACTCCCCCTAGAAAGGCTAAGGCAGGGTCATAAAGAAGGTGAAATCAACATGCAAACCCTCGAGTCTCTTTTTCCAGCCCAAAGTTTCCCAGGAACCCCTGACTAGGCTGTCCCACTCCCATTCTTGTCCTGACCCCCCGAACCCCTGACCCCAGGAAGACTCTGAGAACCAAGGGTCAAGATCCTCTGCAGCTCCTCCTCGCAGAACGTCCTCTCTGATTTCAGCATGTCTTGCATTAAATCAAACCTATGTCTGCCAGAGCACAGTCTCAGCTCCCCGGGGAAGGAATTGACAGTCCCTAATTTGCTGCCCTCCCCAGCCCGTCTCCACAATAGGCCATTTCCCAGACAATAGCCATCATCACCGCCTTTGTGCAGGCCCAGTCATCCTGAAATTGAGTCTCCAATCTCCTCAAAGATGTGCACAGGAAATGGAAAATCCATGCCAGTCCCTGCGGGCACACCGGCAGTTGATTCCAAAGCACACAGGGCACCTGCTCCCTGGCATGCAGAGGGGACAGATCGACAACCTGAGACCACCTGGGTAGGGGAGATCTAACTCCCATCGTCAGCCCTCCAGGGAAGGATCAGCAGCTTCCTGGGGGCTAAGGGCCCCCATAAGCCCCCATTAGTACGACCACTCACAATAGGGCCTGATCAGCTATGGTCACCCCTGGAAAACCCGGGGACCCCAGAGTTCCAGAGTCCTATTTATAAGAAGATCCCCCTGCCTCCTGGCAGATGAAAGGATCTGAGGAACTAGCAATTCTCTGAGAGGAAGGTGGATCGTGGAAGCTCCCACCCCTGGGAAAAAGCCTTTGAAGACACAAAACCATCCAGGGGTAGAAGTCCCTCATTTCCATTCCTCAAAGGGCGACCTGAAGATGGTTCTGACTCATGCTTAAAAGACTCTGACTACTGGTCCACAGCTGTGTTAAACATAATCCTAAATATTCTGAAACAATCAGGAAAATATTATCAGGAACTGGGTAACAGACAACACAAGCATTTTTTTGTTGTTGTTAATTTTGTTAGGTGAGACAATGCCTTGTTGTTATGTAAGAAAGCAGCCACTTTCTTCAGAAATGTATCCTGCAGGATCATCATGACATGATATTTAAGATTTGCTTTAGAATATTTTACTACAGAAAAGCCACAGGAGGAAAACTATCATAGGGCAGTATCCAGGTTCAGCAAGATGAGATGCTATGATTGATTAATGATGTCTGCCCTAGGCAGGGGAGATGCAGCAAGGGTAGGAAGTGCAAGGAAGACAGGATGCCAGCAACATATTTGCCATCCTGGCTGGTCTCTTGCCTGTCAGACAAATGTCTACTTTGCCTTTCAGGCCTGCTTCAAAGAAAACTTTAGTTACATATTGATTAACTGGGAGTTAATACGTTCTTAAACAATTCAGTTGCATTTATTTATTCTGTTTCTGCTCTAGGATTAACCGAAAATGAAAACCAACAGGGCCTTGGCCTAACAATTGCTATTATATTAATTTTTATATGAAAGTACTTCAGTATTTTATATGAAAGTATTTTAGATAAAGCTAAATGATTTCCCCTTTCTTACTTCCCAACAGGAAGTGATATTAATAACAGTAATTTATTGGAGGCACTCCATTGTGCCAGGCAATGAGCCAAGTGCTACACACACATCACCTCATTAATCATCGCAACGAACCCATGGGCTAGGACTGTGTTAGCCCCACATTTCAGATCCAAGTTGGAATTATTCACACAGGGCATACAGAGGATAAACGGCTGAGTCTCTGATGCCAAAGGAAGGGCTGGAACATTACAAGTTCCACCTCCCACCGAATGCCTGGACTAGGCTCTTGTAAAGTTTTTAGCCACAAGACAGCTCAGAATTTGTGGATTAGAAGACCAGAGAGAAAAGAGGAGATCAAGTTCCAAAGGACAGCTGCTGAGAGCCAACAATCTGGGGGAACTCTCAGCGCAAAACAAGAAAAGGAAAGAAGCAGCACCATCTGTGAGGGGCTTCCCCAGCCCTCCAGGGGAACACCTCTCCTCCTGGTGCTCAGAGCAGCTGCTCAGAAATCACCAGGGAGGGGTCCCCGCTGAGAGGATTCCAGGTGGCTGGGGCTACTTCCCTGAAGCCCAGTCTGGGGCCAGCATTCAGTGTATTAGCAAAATGATGGCTGAAAACTGGGGAATTTGATCAATGAAATCGAGAAGGCAAACTTGGGTCTCCATTAGCGTAATTCTAATTGAGTGTGATCCTTAGTTTGGGGTTTTTTAAATTTCACAATGGCAATTTGAATGAAAACTTTTGGGGGAGTTTGGTTTTGTTTCTGTAGGCTTTGAATATTTACTAGTGACTAAATAGCTTACCTGATGTTCTGTGGGAAGGGTGTGCCATCCACACAAAATGCAAAATTCCAATGTGGGCCTTAAACGTCTGGCTCATGCAAAGAATCTGATATTCTAACTGAAAAGATATTTATTTAGGAAGAAGGAAAAGTTGGTTGCTTTGCTATAATTTTCTGTGATTTTCTGCTCCTGTTTCCCCCCGACTCTTCTTAAAAAAGGACTCTAAGGTTTTCCCAAGAGTCAGTGAGAATTGCTGGTAATAATTGCGGAGGGTGGGGGGCCAGTAAGTGAATGTAAAATGAATGAGTTCAGGCTTAAGCAGGTCAGAGATTGCAGCTGAAATATTGGAAACGAAGCTTGAGCTCAAGGGAACTGTCCGTTTGAACTGGCTCAGTGAGTGTGTCCAATTGCGGTATTGCGCACAGTACAGCTAACCTGCTGATTTACATGCTGTAGATACCTGCAGTTGTGTGGGTTGTGGTCTTTGTTATTCTTCACTGGCTATATGGCTCCCCGTTAAGAATTTGGTAAAATACTGAACTAGGGAAACAAATGGCTCAGACATTAGAGTTAGTCCCAGAACTATACTCAAGGTCTTAAAAATAAGCCCCCTATACTTCAAGTTCTACAGACTTCTGAAAATCAAACTTCTCACGTAAAATCTTGGAAATGATAGTCTGACTCCCTAAATGGTGTAACTGAAAGAAGCCCTCACCCTTCTTCATGTTCTTTCCCCAAGGAGCTCCAAAAATCCCTGAGGGATATTTCCATGTCCCGTGTCCCATGAAGAAACCCCAGTTGTTGTTGAACATTAAGTGGCTATCGCACTTCTGGTCAACTTGTTCCTTCGTTCGTGTGTTGCATTTCCATGAATTATTTCTGCTCTCTGAAGAGTCCCATCCCAAATTCCCCCCAAGCACAGAAACCAGATTGTAAACCAGATTGCAACATTTAACAAAATTTTGCTGAAGCCTTAGGGGGAGTGAAAGGGAATTACAGTGCAGAGGGCTATCTGACTCCTTGGGCTCCACTGGGCTGCATCACTGGTCCCACCAGCTTCCTTTCCACAGCAGAACTGTTTGTCTCTGTCTTCCCTACATTAATTAAAATCCTCGCCCTCATCCCAGTCTCCTCTAGGGTCCAGCAAGAGGTGTGGGGGGGGGGAGGGGCGGGGAGAGACCTCAGGTCCCTGTTTCCCTAATCTGCAGACACGTTAACACAACCCAAAGTGGAGACATAGCATTAATACCGTCTTGAGGAGCTACTGAATTCCTTTCCTCACTGCTCCCAAAATGCCGTTTCAGAGAAGAATGTTTTGCTTTACAGCTGTTGAAACCAAAAGTCCCAGGAAAGGATTTGTCTTAAATTCAGACATAATTTGCCCTCAAACTTACACAGAAATCTCCCCTTGCTGAAACAGAAAGCCACTCATTTTTAAAGCAGAACCTTATCTGCTCATTTCTTGTCATCAGCACTGGAGCCTGCCTTTATCATTTGGAGGTTGTCCACATAGAGCAGCTGGGAAGGATGGCAGTGCGTAACATAGCCTCGGTTTTTGTAGTCTGTCCTTTCACACCTAAGTCTTCCCAGGGGGACATCCTGTGTGTGTGTCCCTGTGTTGCAGAAATGGCTCTTTAGGTGATGTTATCCTGCTGGGTCCAGGGTACCAGGAGGAACAAACACTTTTGGATCAGGCTGGTAACACACACTTAAGAAAAGGCTTTGAGTGCTGAAAGCAGCACGTGTGGTCTAGGGAGAAACAGAAGCAGTGAAACCATGACAAAAGGAAGAACAATGAAACAGACTAGCCCCCCAAGGAAAGAAGAGCGGCAAGGCAAAGCTCTTGACAGCACCCCAAAGCCAGCATCTTTTCAGCCTCTTCTTTGTGGCGTTGTATTGTGTTATGCTCACAGGGGACCTGGGCTTGGTGTTCCTCTAGGGTCAAGTTTGAGTTTGTCCGTTTTAAAGCATTTCAAATTCTTTGCCCTGATGTGTCTTCATCTATACTTTTCAAACTAGGGCATATTCTTTCCTTCCCGGGGGATATATAGCAGTGTGCTAAAGGGTACGGGAAGTCACAGAATACTACACACATCTGCGGCATGTGGATTTAACTAAAAACTGCTGGAGGTGCCATTTTGAATTTTTGTACTTTTCCATGTCTTTTTCACAAGGCAAAGTCAGGAACCTCCTGCTTTTCCATTTCATATAATTAAATGTTTTTTCATGACAACTTGGAGATTTTCTTTAAATGTTTAATCAAAGAGATGCATTTGAGATGCATTTGAACATAGTTTTAAAATCAAATCATACAAAAAGCTTCTCATGAAAAACCATAATGCCTTCCCCTATTCCACCCTATCCCCAGCCTAACTCCCCAGACATAGTGATTTATATCTCTTTATAACTCTTGCAGCTGTTTTTTCTACTAGCTCCCTCCATGTGTCTAAATAATATGTTTAAACTGCTATTTATTGATCCATAATTTTCAGACATTCTCTATTGATTTTCAATTATGATGGATGTGCGCTTGGCTGCTGCTTCTTTTTTTTTTTTTTTGGTATCCAAAACTTGTTTATTGGGATGGTTTCCTGTTCATCTCGATACAGGGAGATTTTAGTGCTGCTTCTGTCTGAAAGAGCATCCTTCTGTAAGTGTTGCTTTTCCTCCTGTAGGCTGGCAGAGGACAGAAGAGCAGCCAACACACAAAACTACTGTTTGTGCATGGCTAAAGACGGTGGTGATTTTATAGCATCCTGGGCATTTTACATCCATGAAATAGGAACTGGGGCTCAGCACCCACTCTTCTTGTGTTTCCCCTTCTCCCCTTCTGGAGCGAGAGGCATGTTCTCATGAGGAGGTCGTCACCGCTGGAAAGGGCTGGGCGTGGCTTCTTTATTCCCCCAATCTGCACGTCTCCCTCCAGCCATTTCACTATTTTTAAATAATTTGTGTTGTAAAATAGACATTTACAGTTTAGTGGCAACCTAACCTTCATTCTTTCCTCTTTTAACTACATCGTGATTTCCATTTGGGAACCCACTCTTCCCCTACGTGGTCACCACTTTCCTTGGAAACAGACACGATCTCTGGCTGCAGGGTTGGGCCCCGGTCTTGTTGAATCCCACCCCCCAGGCTATAGTGATTGGTCAAGAAAAGGCATGCAACCCAGCATCGACCAATAAGAAGTTTTCTGCAGGAAACTGGGATAGAATTTTCTTGGTTTTTTTTTTTTTGCAGAACCCCCTAGAGAAATACTCTCTTCCTGATGGACTGAATCCTAGCAACCCCTAGAAAATACTGGATGCTACTTTGCACCCATGAGGAAAGCCATAATACTTTGAACAGCTATTGCCAAAGGGAGCAATGGAAATTAAAGACTTTAGATGGCCCCTGCATCAAGCCTTATTTGGAGCCTAAATTAACTTCAAAATTGTCTATCATGTGAGCAAAACACTGTAATTCCCTTTATGGCTTAAGCCACTTTGAGTTTTCACTTACTTGTAAAGGAAAGTCTTCTCATCAATATAAGTGTTTGCATCATTATCACACAGCAGATTACTTGTGGTTTCACCACAGAGCTGAGCACTGTACAATTACATATCCTTTCATGTACAGGCTTTTGGGTGGTTTTAAAAAATTAATTTTTCTTTCCATTTGCAGAATTATCCATATGCATATCCTCAATTCTTCCCCCATATCCATCTCCACAACTTCCTCCTCTGCTCACAGCTGGTGGCTCTGTCCGTTGTCAGCCTGTACTTTCTCTTAAGTGTTCTCCTGAGTTGAATTCCCTATTTCCTGGATTCCATGATGTCCCCTCTTTTGAACTACTCAGGATTGCTGAGATATTTTCTCCATGCTTTCTATGAAAGAGTTTCAAGTAGGCAAATTGTTTATGGATACATGAAGATGTCTTAATTCTGCCCTCACACTGGACTGATAGGCTGGCAAGGTATAAAGTTTCTGGCTGAAAATTATATTCCAGCAGATTTTTGATGCTATTGTTCAGCTGCTTTCTGGTACCCAATGTTGCTACTCAGAATTCTGATATCATTCTGATTCTAGCCCTTTGTGTATGACTTCTTTTGCATTGTTTTTTCTTTGTAAGCTTTTAGGGGAATCTCCTAATTCCAGGTTCTAAAACCTCTCTAAAAGAAAGCAGTCCTGAATATTCTTTGGAAGGATTGATGCTGAAGCTGAAACTCCAATACTTTGGCCACCTGATGTAAAGAACCAACTCAATGGGAAAGACCCTGATGCTGGGAAAGATTGAAGGCAGGAGTCGAAGGGGACAACAGAGGATGAGATGGTTGGATGACATCGCTGACTCAATGGACATGAGTTTGAGCAAGTTCCGGGATTTGGTGATGGACAGGGAAGCCTGATGTGCTGCAGTCCATGGGGTCACAAAGAGTCAGACACGACTGAGCGACTGAACTGAACTGAACTGAAAACCTCTCTATGATGTGCCTTAACTGAGGTTTTTTTCTCCCTCATTCTGATTCCTCTTTATGATAGGGGCCTTTTTAATTAGGAGCCTGATATCCTTCTCTGGAAAATTTTTTCATAGATTGTTTTCCTCCGTTTCCTTCCGTTTTTTCTCTTCTTTCTTCCTGGAAACTTAGTCAGACGTGAAATTTCTAGGGTTTATGTCTCTTTTCACCATTCTCATATTTTCCAACCCTTTGTATTTTTTGTTCTGCTTTTTGTCATGTTTCCTTGACTTAGTCTTCCACCCATTTTTATTTGAACTACAGTTTTTATTCTCATGAGATCTTTATAGGATCTTGTCCTTGTTTTATAGATGCAATACCTTCTCCTTGCTTTCTGAAAATACATATTAGGACTGGGTTGCTGGCTCTTTTGGAAGTTTTCTTCTCTTTGCTGTATTATCTTTGCTGCTCCCAGATTCCTTTATTCAGTTTCGGTTTTTACTTCGGTTTCTCTCTTTCAGGATGAAGACTTTCTTTATTTGTCACTTGATTGTGTTTAAGAATTGGCTTAAAATTCAGAGATCCAGGCAAGATTGATGCACAGTGGGCTTATATTAAGGTAATGAGGAAAGAAACAAACCATTGCTTGTGTGGATTCCCCAAAAATCAGAGTGTGGAGGTCTTTTCTCCAGGGCAATTCAGTTTCTCCAGAGAAAAACCTTCATTCCTACTTGAGAGTCAGGGTGGTCTTCATACTAAGCAGAGAGTGGTGAGGCTGATGGTACAACTATCTCGTCTGTAGATCTTCAGTTAACTTTGCTGAGTCTCCGTTCCAAATTTCATGGATTCAGTTTCTCCAGACTAAACTCCCAGTATTCTTTATAGGGTAGAAGGGGTGAGAAGGTATTAAGTCTGTCTGCTGGAATTATGTGCACAAAAATGGGAACTAGGGCTCAGGGAGGGGATTCAGTGATTCATTCCACATTGAATCCTCAGCAAATTTCCCAAATTCTAGACTGCATGACTTTGGTGTCATTCTCCTTATATCATTTCACAGTTCAGCTCAGTCCCTCAGTCATGTCCGACTCTTCACAACCCCATGGACCACAGCACCCCAGGCCTCCCTGTCCATCACCAAATCCCGGAGTCTATCTCCATTGAGTCAGTGATGCTGTCCAGCCATCTCATCCTCTGTCATCCCCTGATCCTCCTGCCTTCAATCTTTCCCAGATTCAGGATCTTTTCAAATGAGTCAGCTCTTCACATCTGGGTGGCCAAAGTATTGGAGTTTCAGCTTCAACATCTATCCTTCCAATGAACACTCAGGACTGATCTCCTTTAGGATGGACTGGTTGGATCTCCTTGCAGTCCAAGGGACTCTCAAGAGTCTTCTCCAACACCACAGTTCAAAAGCATCAATTCTTCGGCATTCAACTTTATAGTCCAACTCTCACAGCCATACATGACCACTGGAAAAACAGTAGCCTTGACAAGATGGACCTTTGTTGGCAAAGTAATGTCTCTGCTTTTTAATATGCTGTCTAGGTTGGTCATAACTTTCCTTCCAAGGAGTAAGCATCTTTTAATTTCATGGCTGCAATCACCATCTGCAGTGATTTTGGAGCCCCCAAAAATAAAGTCAGCCACTGTTTCCCCATCTATTTGCCATGAAGTGATGGAACCGGATGCCATGATCTTAGTTTTCTGAATGCTGAGCTTTAAGTCAACTTTTTCACTCTCCTCTTTCACTTTCATCAAGAGGCTCTTTAGTTCTTCTTCACTTTCTGCCATAAGAATGGTGTCATCTGCATTATCTGAGGTTATTGATATTTCTCCCAGCAATCTTGATTCTAGCTTGTGCTTCATCCAGCCCAGCATTTTGCATGATGTGCTCTGCATATAAGTTAAATAAGCAGGGTGACAATATACAGCCTTGGCATACTCCTTTTCCTATTTGAAACCAGTCTGTTGTTCCATGTCCAGTTCTAACTGTTGCTTCCTTACCTGCATACAGATTTCTCAAGAGGCAGGTATATTTCATAGTACAATCATTTAAAAGTTATAAAATCAAATGGGATCATAGATCAAAACAGAAAGTTTAGAGCATTAGTTTGAAATTAGTCAACTATTCCAGCCAGATAACGAGGAAAATTCAGAACCCCAAAGCATCAAGCATTGTGGTAACCTTGTTCTAGCCTCTGAAGTGCCCCATGAAGATTTGAGGATGAAGATGTTACCACAATGTAGTAGCGATTGGAGAGGAAATTGAAGGATGCCTTAAAGCTTGTTTTAAATATGAGTTTTATTGTGTGAACTGTAACTGAGCCTAAAGTTTAGCATCTCTGTTTCAGGAAAACCCAGCACAATGACTGTGTGAAACCACCACTTCTGAAGTGACACTTTAAATACAATGTACAATCTATTAGGAAAGTTAAATTTAATAATAGTGACAACACCAAATACCAAATGCTGATGAGGATTTCTCATACATTGCTTGTGAGCATGTAAAATGGCACAGCCACCACAGGAAATAGTTCGGCAGCCTCTTACAGCACTAAACATACACTTACCATTTGACCCAGCAATCCCGCTCCTCGACAGCTATCTCAGAAAACGGAAATCTATGCCCACATAAAAGCCTGTACTTGGTTGTTCATAGCATGTTTCTTCGTAAGAGCCAAAGGCTGGACACAACCAAATGTCCTATGATCTGTTAGTGGTTAAACAAACTACAGTAAGTCTATACCATGGAATACTACTCAGCAATCCAAAAGAAAGGGAACACCCTGTCAACACCCGAAACAACCTGGGTGGATCTTGAGGACATTACTCTGAGTGAGAAGAAAAGCCAGTCACAAAAGGTCACATACTGTATGATTCCACTTATGCAAAATTCTCAAATAAAAAAACTACAGAGGAGGACAGATTGGTACTTGCTAGGTGCTGGTGATGGAGAGAGGTATGGGAAGGATAGTGGACAGGACTAGAAAGGGAGAGCACAAATGATCCTCATGGTGACGGGACAGTTCTGTATCATGATTGCAGCTGTGGTTATATGAATAGCACGTGATAAAATTGCATAGAACCAACTACACACACATAAGTGGGGGAATATAAAACTGGTAAACTCTCAATAAGGTCTGTGCATTGTAACAATGGCTTTCTGGTTTTGAATATGAACTGTATATAGTTATAAAGATGTTATCTTTGAGAGAAACTGAATGAAGAGTCCAAAGGTTCTCTAAATGCTATTTTTGCAATTTCTGTGAATCTATAACAATTTCAAAATAAATAAAATAAAATAATAATCAAAGATGCAATGTCCAGAAAAGATGGTGG